TGAAGCTGTGTGTGTGTGTGGACTTTATGAATTGTGAGTGGGTTCTGTGACGTAGGATGGATTGAGGGAGAGAGATATGTACCTGTTGCTTGCTGGTGGCCATAGGCGGCTGGACACGTGTGTGAGGCTTTGTGTGTGTGTGTGTGTGAACTTTATGAATTGTGAGTGGGTTGTGTCAAAGCTTGGCTGGTTCACCTGGGAATACCCACCCAGCTGGTCAATCCAGTGATCCACTTACTTTAAACGACATCATGAAGCCCAGCACACAGAGGTAGCATCAAATGCCCAAGCAGTCACAGAACCAGTTTTACAAGCTTAGCCAGACGCTGGTGTATGGTGTATGACAATCTCTTAAATGATATGCCATAGGGCACAGGTGCCTTACCTCAACTTCACTCAAACTTGGCAAGTGTTTGCCTTGGACCTCGGATACAGCTGCCACAAACCTCAACCGGATTCTCTCTCTGTCCCTAACTGGCCGGTAACCCTGCAGAGAGAGAAAGGGAGCCCACCGCGATGTCACCATTCCAGTAATGCAAGAAGAACCTGTAGTCAGTGGTTTATATGAAATATGGGCACTCAAAGATACAAATGCCCAACAGTAGTTGACATAACAGTTAAGATACAAATGCCTTTTTCTTACTTTTTTGGGACCATTCTCGATTTATGTGCGCCATCCTTGCACAGGAGCTATGCTAATTTTCTCCATACCGTTCCAATTTTGACAGATGTCCGGAAGGACAGGTATGATTCCCTTTCCACTCCATCACATGTCACTTTCTCTAGTCGTGTGAGTAGTACCCGAAGTGAGTGTCCTCAGCAACATAGACACGTTTCACATCATTTTAATCCAGCCAAGCCAATTTGCTCAAGACCCCAGAGCCATAATAACTGAATCTCGTTGCCATAGTAGTGACATTCTCAATGGGTCCTGTTCAGCCACAAGCATGGTCCAACAGTGACCGAACGGTTCTTTTTGACTTAGGTCCATACTTTCTGCAAATCCAACCTCCATCTATGTGGGAGGCTTGAGTGGTAAAGCAGGCGCTGTGCGTATGTAATGCTTGTGTATTGGCTCAATAGAGTTGTGAGCCAGTCCCCTGTATGCTCTCCCATGCATGAGTATATTTCTCCCTTATTTCCTTGCCCAAATCCTCACTGAGAGCAAGGCACACATGGACTTTTTGGAAGTCAGTTGTCCTCTCTAACACGTTGTGGCTTCTTCAACAAAAGCAAGGCACCAGTACCGGTGTTCATGCCATCTACCTCATGGTCACATATATTTCAAGTATTGCCAACTAAAAGAGCACACCTTGCAAAAGAAATGAACGGAGGAGCAGACAGTGTGCAGAACACTGAAACCCGTGCACTTCTTTCTTAACTTTTGTTCTTTTGGCTTTTTTCACAGTTTATCTTTCATTTTCTTCTTTCAGTTCCCCGTTTACCGTGCCTTTCAGGTACAAGGCTTGCCACGTTGATGTAATTGAGCGCAAGCTACGTACACCCCCATGTGCCATTGCGGCCCACTTGTACGGGGCACAAAGGAGGCAGAGCAAAGCGAGAGGGGATACAGAGGAAGGAAGGCAAAAGGAATGTGGGGAGTGTAAATAAAGATGAAAGCATACGTAAGGATAAGAGATCAAAATAACATATCATTGATCATGCACACTACAAACACGAGGCAAAAAAGTTGGGCCAGCCCATAAACAGCGAAGTTAGCAGGGCTACGTTTTCGGCTGGTGAACTCACTCCTATGAAGTCGGAAGTTTCTGTGTGTTGATAGCAGTTAATGATGTGCAGATGTTGTTTCCGTAGCATGGCCAGCATCTGGCACACAGTAGTCTTGCCGCTGCCTGTCTCCCCAACCAGGAGAATAGGTTCATTATGCCGCAAACACCTCTCAACAAGATTGAATAGCCTCTTCATGCTCTTCGTCCAAACAATCCTGCCCAAAATGAGACTACCATCAGTATGCAAAAAACAAACACAAAAAGCAGAAGGAAAATAGGGCCTGTCAAGTCCAAGCTACACTTGCAGAGAAAAAAAATCATACTGATGTAGAGACACCTCTAAAACAGCACAGGGAGAGGGGCATGAAAGAAGCGGAGGGGTTCAGAAAAACGGGAAGGGGAAGAGGACAGGCCATCTACGGGAAGGGGGAGGAGGACAGGCCATCTATGATGATGATGTCCTTCAAGCATGATACAAAGGGTTGGGAAAGTTCTTTCGCCACCGTGGAAAACAACGAGGATAACTGATAGGTGCGACGCTGAGAAGTCTTGCGATGTTTTCAATCTTCTATCTTGTACATCCGTCACAATTTGTTGCTGTTCGAGTACCCTGTCTCAAATTCTGTTTTTCTCTTTCCTCCTCCTTTTCATCATTGCCCACGCAGTGCGAAAAAGAGGAATGTTGAAGAAGCAGATGATGAACAGACAAAGAAAAATGTGGGCCACTTGCTTGCTCGGAAAGGTGGCAGCCACTGAATCGGCTTCAATCTGGCACCACCCCAAGGGCTGCATTCACACGTTGCCATTCATTTCCTGGGACCTCCTGGGATGCCAAACACATACTCCAGGACATGGATCAGCTTTGGACCTCGCCACCTCCAAGAGTCAGCTTCAGATTTCCATGCTCTTTTCCTGGACCAGTAGGCTTAAGACCCATCTAGCAGCATGGACCAACTTTTAGAACTTGCCACCCAGACTCCTGCACTCGCTAGAGATCTATCAGACCCACTGCAACTTTCTCTTTCTTTCGTTTTCCCTTTCTGAGAAAGGCG